CATGTCATTTTCGCCCACGCAGCTTCTTATCAAATGCAAGTAAACTTTTGAATCATTTAAATTAGCATTATTTTATATTTTATTTAATTATTTTACAGCATTATTAAATATAACTATTTATTATGCCACAAATAATGCTAATTTAAATGTTTCAAAAGTTTACTTGCATTTGATAATATGATGTCATGCATCCCACAAGCTGTTAAATGTTACATTCATACACATTATGTGATATTATTGATAATCGGCTGTCTTTCATTTTATAAATAAAAAAGCAATTACAATTCGCAACCACTAGATGGCAATTGTAGCTCTACTGAGACATGACTACTGGCACCGCGAGACATGAGAGTTAGAGATCAGTGTTGTGTTTTGAATTTTGTTTTTACATGAGAGAGCACTAAGTTTACCTGTCGGAGAGCAGCGGGCAAACAACAAATGATAAAGGACATTCCTACTTGGTCTTGTGAGTATATTGTGGTCGTGTTCATTATTTATCTATATTATTTGTTATGTTTAGGGACCGTGACATTTTAGTGAAGGGAGCAGATCGTAGTTGATAGTGACCCGTGACTAGCCCACGGTTCAGCACGCATGTGTTCAGAGGATTCATTGCTAAATTTAATCGAGTAAAAGTTTTATCATTTGTATGCGTTTACAAACTCAATCGATTTTAAAACAGTGCAAGGAGAGCAAAGAGCAAACAACAGAACAAACACAGCTTTGACAAAGATTAATCCATATTAATTTATACAGTAAACACTCAGAAGAATTGGAGAAACTGAGGAGGAGTTTAAACATCTGGAAAAGATCCTGGCAGCAATGGTAAAAGAAAATAAAAAAAACTCCCCAAAATAACATGTCCGCACTAAAGCTCACTGACAAAGTCCATCATTTATTTTAATTATTATATTGAATTTATTACTGAACAATGGCTTGTTTGATACAGAGAGAGCATGAGCTAATTGAACAGAATATCTTTGTCATTGTACAAGTAACATTAAAATAAGATTTATTTTAAAACTTCCAAATTGATATATTTTTATCATTTTGTATTGTCTTAAGTTGTTAAAAAACATTTTTTTTCTTAATAAAAGCTGTATGTATGGATTGCCATTTTGTTGTCTATTAGACGTTTATATGTAGTCGTTTAATAGCCGTCTAATTGATGACTAGTCTATTCTTGGGCTATGATTAGACATCTATTAGATTTTCACTGACAGCCCAATTTTAGCCTTCACGTAGGCATTTACAGCTATACATAGCTGTATAGCTGATGTCCGATGTAGCTGATAAACAAAGCACGCAGAGTGGATTGAGCGCGCAGCGGCGCAGATGCGCGAGCTTGTTGAGTGAATATAACTTTCTCACAGACATCACTGGAAAGTTTGTAGTTCGGTCGGATACGTCAAAAACAAGCAAGTAAAACTTACTTAACATTAGAGAGAGAGAGAGAGAGAGAGCGAGAGAAATTCTGTTGTGTGATCTTTGATGTTCACTCACTTAGCACACGCATCATTTGGATTAAAACTAAATTGTAAAAATAAGACCATTTATAGGGGCATTCACTATAAACATTTATTTTTAACATTAGGCATACACGACTTTCTGGCGGAAGTGAATCTAGCAGCTTGTGTGAAATACGCTAGGCTGTACTATTCTGCATCAGTACAAATACGAGCACGTGTTGCGTGTGTTTTGCTTGCTTGAGTGTTTCTGCATTATATGAGTGGCTTTGGAAAATAAATCGCAGTACGTTTCAGATGAAAAAAAACATGACTTCTATATCTGAAAATATCACAGTTAGGAGATGTATAAGGAGTGGTTCCCTGCATTATTACAGCAAAGCGCACGTGATTACAGTACTAAGCCGCTGCAATGGAGCAGCTCTAATGCTATTAAAGGGATAGTTCACCCAAAAATGAAAATGTTGTCATCATTTACTCACCCTCATGTCGTTCCAAATCTGTATGAGTTGCTTTCTTATGTTGAACACAAAAGAAGATATTTTGAAGATTGCTGGTAATCAAACAGTTGGTGGTTGCCATTGACTTCCATAGTAGGGAAAAAAAATACTACGGAAGTCAATGGCAACCACCAACTGTTTGAATACCAGCAATCTTCAAAATATCTTCTTTTGTGTTCAACATAAGAAAGCAACTCATACAGGTTTGGAACGACATGAGGGTGAGTAAATGATGACAGAATTAAAATTTTTGGGTGAACTATCCCTTTAAATTAAAGATGATGTACCATAGAGCAAAAAAATGAACAGTGAAAGTAACAAACTAGTAAAATACATTGTAATGGGCATAATTAAGTGTGAAAATAACAGAAGGATATACAGTCAAACCAAAAATGATTCAGAGACCAGATATCATTTTTTATATATTTTTTACTAGTGGGTGCAGGACACTATAGTTCATAGTTCAAGTGAGGATAGCAAAATAAAGTAAACGGTGACAAATTATACCCAAAAATTCTTCATACAGTGGACTACCAGTAAAACTGATATAAATTTGGGACCAAAAATTATTCAGACCGAGTCTGGGAATAAATTTAAGTTAAGGTTTGCAT